TCTGTCTTAGGCAGACCTACCTCAGTGACATGAACCTCAGTCTCTGATTCCTCAGGTGGGATTTTGGGGTGATGTTATTTTTCAGTTAGTTGCTTGTTTCTCTTTGAGATCATAACCTCATAGACTAGAATGTGTGTCTTCATTTCCACGCATTTGTTTAGCATGTATCTTTCGAGTGCTCTCTGTTGGCCAGGTGCTGCCCATCGCTGCTCCATCAGCTCACAGTCTCGCTCAGGATGTGGTTGGTGAATGAATGAATGAATGAAATGAGAGCATGCAGTTTGAATGTCCCCCGTAAGTCAGGGCTTCCGAGGGCAGGAACGTCCACTTTACCTTGTCTCCAGCGGGTAGTGTGTGTTAGCATGCAGTAGGTGTCAACTGTGTATAGTATAACAGGAAGAAGAGGTCATATTAGGTTCATGGCAGTCTTCATGATTGGAGGCCTGGTTTCTGCTGTAGGATTGGAAGTGAATAATTGTTGAAAAGATTTCTTTAAAATAATAGCTTTATTGAGATATAGTTCATATATCACATAATTCATTTGTGTAAAGTGTACAGTTCATTGGTTTTCAGCACATTTACAGAGTTGTGCAACCGTCATCACTGTCTAATTCCAGAGTATTTGCATCTCTCCCCAAAGAAACTCCATATCCATTAGCTGTCACTTCTCATTTGCCCCTCCTCCAGCCCCAGCAGCCACCAACTTTTCTGTCTTTATGGATTTACCTGTTCTGGACATTTCATATAAATGGAATCATACGAGATGTGGCCTTTTGTGTCTGGCTACTTTCACTCAGCACGTTTTCTAAGTTCATCCACATTGTAGCATGCATCAGGAAACTTCTTTCCTTTGTGTGGATGGACCATATTTGTTTATCCATTTACTCATTGATGGATTCAGAAGAGATTTTTAAGATTTGCAGACAGTAGTGCCCTTGGCCCTGGGAACCACTTCCCATCTCTTTCCTCCCTCCCTCTGTTGCCTTTTTTAACACCGGAAGTTGAGAGGCATGGTGGGCTAGGGTCCTGGGCTGAGGCGAGCTTATACTAGATTTTTACAGACGGAGCAGTGCTGTTGGGGGTGATCCTGTCCCTTTGGGGACAGTTGGCAATGACATTTTTGGTTGTCTCGACTGGAGGACGGGGTGCTACTGGCATCTCGTGGGTAGAGAGCAGAGATGTTGCTCAACACCCTGCGAAGCATAGACAGCTCCCACCACAGACAGTGATCTGGCCCCAGATGTCAGCAGTGCCAAGGCCGAGAAACCTTCAGTTTGAAGGAAACGTTGTGTGGGCAGGGGTGCAAACTTTGCACTTGGGCAGATAGTTCAAAACTGCACCCACCAGTACAGCTGTGCCACTTTGGGCAGGCTGATGGCTTTTTCTGCACCTGAGACCAGGATAGGCAAGCTCGTTCCCAGCCTATTCTGGCCAGTACACTTGGTACATCTGCAGTGTCTGGTGCGGGTGAATGAACCCACTTGATGCAGGGTCCCCTCCTGCCCACTCTCTGGGGCTGCAGCCTTCCACGCTGCCACCCCCTGCCATAGGCACCAGGGTTTCACTTGCCCCTGTGAACAGGTGGGATGTGGCCTAGTCGGTACCTCCTCCTCTCAGGGGAATTCTGCAGCTCAGCCTGCCCACTCTGGGAGCCAGCAGGGCCACTTGTGCCGACTCGGGTCGGCTCACAGTCCTCGGTAGTGATGGACGTGCCCGCGGTGCCTTCCCATGTGGAAGGCCAGTTAGCTGGTGTTGATCCTGATGAGTAAATCCATACTGTCACATCACTTGGGAGTAGGGACCCCAAGGGCTAATTTGGGTGGGGGGATGGGGTGTGATGTCAGGGAGGCCTTTTTGAGTTTCAGGGTAGAGAGGTGAGTGAACAGGCATTCCTTTCTTGTCCTCAGACTTGGGCAGCCTTAGGTGCAAGGAGGGCTATGGCTCTCTGCTGTGTGACTTTGGTTAGATTTCTTAACCTCTCTAGGCCCCAGAATCCTGATCTAGAAAGTTAGGGTAGCTTGCTCATTTCACAAAATTACATTTTTAATTGCCCAGCACATCCCAGGGACTGTATGGGGTACTTGAGGGCCAGCAGCATGTGAGGACCATGCTCTTGGGGAGCTAGCACGGTTTTGGGGGGGCAGGAGAGAATTGCTCCCAATGAACAAAGCAGATGCTTGCAAAGAAAAGAAGCCAAACGATGTGCTAGGCCTGGCTGGGGTGGGAGGCTGACACCTGGACAGCAAGACACAGTCCTCTGTGCCTGGAGAGGGTGCCCCTTGTGAGGGAGGTGAGTCCAGAGGTCCCAAGGTGGAGGGGCTCGGTGAGGTGGGGATCAGGTCAGAGGACAGTGAGACCGACATTGAGAGAAGAGAAGAGAGTGAGGCTGGCTCTGAGGGTGGGGCCCTGGGAGGGTTTGTGATGGTCAGCGGCCTGATCCTTGCTTGATCTGGTAGCAGCTTCATGTAGCTTGAGATGTAATTCCCAATACATTCAATCCACTTATGTAAAGTGTACCATTCAGTGGGTTTT